ACCTGAGAATTCAGGCTACTGGAAATCACTAAGATCTCTCAGGAGCCATGTGTCAGGATCTTGTTAAAAATTACTAAATCAGAAATACAAGAGAGAAGCACATATTATATGTTATCTGAGTTCAAAGCTTGGTTCTGCCACACACTTATTTCATTTTAACTCTCTGGGCCACAATTTCTTCCTCTATGGAGAAGCAAAATCCTAAATCCTTTGTAGGGGAGTATCACAAGGGTCAGAGATATTGGACTATGTCCAAGAAGAAAGAAAATATACTCTTAGATTTATATCAAAATTCAGGTCTATCTGAACACACATCTCAGGAGTCTTTATGTTAATGACATCGTGAGAAATAAGAAGAAGAGGACTGAAGAGGAGGGCGAAAGCCAGGGACAAGAATGGGGGAGAAAGGATGATATGGAGGAAAAGTAGAAGAGGAAAGAGAGGAGACATCAGTCATTTGCATAGACATGGTGTTCTGAACACTGTCAGAGGTGATTCTAAGGTAGATTCCATTTTGAATTTATGGATGAAAAAATTAAGGAATAAATATGCCAAGTGTCTCATGTAGCACGAAGCATTATAAGTAGACATGTCAAAAGTTAAGTATTCTCAAAAGTTCTAAGTAAAATAGTAAAGATACAGTTTGATGCAGTCCTGTTATTCTATTATTTTCTCTTCTCTGGTGATGACCTTTTTACAATTAGCAAGACTGGAGAATTACTGAGTTATTTTATTTGTAGAAATTCTGTAGTAAAATTTGAGAGTTACGATATAGAGAAAACAGAAACCTAGATGAAAGAGGGCTCTTAATGGTAGTTTCCTTAGAGAAAAGATCAAAGAAAAGCGAATGGGAAGACACTGGGAACATTTATCAGCCCTGCCTTGAATGCCCTTGCCGTACTCTTGAACCACTGACTTATCATGAGATGAACGTCTGACTTTTCCAAAATAGAAGGGAGACAAAGATAGGCAATGAATGGAAATAATTCACTGATAGATTTTTTTCTTAAGTTTTCCTCCTTAGAGTTGCCATCAAACCTCTCCAGTTTATCATCTTTGGTTACTTATTTTAATCATACATGGCAATGACTGAATTAGTTAAATAGTCTCCATACGCTTTATGAAATGCAGTTACCTTTTGTCATCTGAACTTGATTATCTACTAATAAATGGTAAGGAAAGACAAAGATAATTATGTGCACCCATATTCAGGACAAGCTAGGAGGGATTCACTGTAAGGTGGAAATTTTTTCTATAAATATATTTTCATTTATTTCAGTAATAACTTAATTTAGAATATAACATTTACTTTCATGTATTATAGCCATATACCTTAAAGTTTTCTCTCTTCAATGTGAGTGCATTGTGAGTTCTACTTATTTCTTGAAGAAGTGTTCATTTATTTGTCATACACTGGTTAGATTTTTTCTACCAAGCACTGTTCTAAGTGCAAAAGGTAGTTAAGTATAAAATAAAAATAAACTAACAAAATCACCTTTTAGATGGCAGTAGGTCCACTAGAGCATTTTAAAAAGAAAAGATAATAAAGAAACTTGGCTGGCTTTGCCATTTTACATAGTCAGGAAAGGCCTCTCAGAAAATATGACAGTCACCATGTAAAGGCTAGTGCAGCTGGTTTTGACAAGGGAATGGTGTTATCTGACACGCTTTAACAGGCTGCTGTGGATTGCTCTGCAGAGAACATCCTGAAAGCACCAAGGACAAGAAGGGGGGAGTGTTGGGAGTGCTGGCAGGAGAGGTCATGGGAAACTGTCAGACAGGAGACAGTATTGTCAGGAAGACGGATTGCATGTGGGGTGTGAGATTATGAGATAAACCTTGCCTCCTTCAAGTCTACGGCCTGAGCAATTTTAAGGATAAGTTAGTTGTCACTCCTTCACTTGGAGGATTCTGTGGAAAATTATTGGAAGAAGATTAAGTGCTCAGTTTTAGATGTGCTAACTTTGAGATACCTAAGAAAGAGCCAGATAGATAGACAGATCCAGACAGATAGACAGACAGACTAATGGAGGTAGACAGACAACAGATAGGGGCAGAATTGTTCTACAGTTCACAGGAAAAAGGGTGAGCTGCATTTATATGTTTACAAGTCATCAATAAGTAGATGATATTTACAACTCTGTGGCTCAATGTGGTAAAATTCTATGGATGGAAAAAGTTCCAAAGACTGAGTTGACGGCCCATAACTAGTAAATAAGATGATGAGGAGTCACTAGAGAAGGAAGAGAAAAGCTAATGAAGTTCTCTGTGGGTTAAGATATACATACACTCAAGCATATGTGTACATAATACATACATATGTATAAATATGCGTATATATTATTCTCAAATTCCAATGAGTTTTAGACAGGAAGATGTGATTAACAGTAGAAAACATTGCCAGTATACTGGAATACAAGATGAAAATGGGCTTCCGGTTTAGCCAGTTTGCCTTCTGTTTTATTGAGACCTCAGCACTTTCCAGTTCAGACCAGTGACAGAGAATCAGCTCTGGATGGATGAGAAGAGGAGATGAGAGAAGACAGCTGGAACACGCCAGGGAAGCAGTGGTCGAAAGGGGCATAGCCAGGGAAGGTAGGGAAGGGTTTTTGTTGGCTGCTTGGTGTATTTTGTATGTATGGGGGGTGTTAAGTAAGAGAATATGATACATTTTTTTTTTAATCTCAGAAGTTATCAGAACATTTCTAAGAGATATTTTGAGTCTGCTTTGCCTATTTTCAATTTTGAGTGGCAGTGTCTGAACTCAGAGGAAGCTTTCTGTCACAGTATATTTCACTAGATAATGTAATCTACTCAGAGTATCTGAAAACATTACAGATAACAAGCCATCATGATACCAAGCCATATCAATGGATAATCAAATATCAACAAATAAAATTTAAGTTTTGTGCCCACTGGAAAAAGACTCATCATTTATTTTTTCTGAAGTTTTTATGTGTACTAATGGCATCTCTTCCAATGATTATTAAAAATTACACAAATAGTACTTTTGTTCCAATTATGACCCAGGCATTTTTCTGAGCTTTTTTCATATATCATTGCTGCTCTTCATTGTAAGATTTAAAAGACAAGTTTTATTAATGCACACGCTAAATGAGGATACGTTAGAGTGCCGAGGATAAGCAGGGAGTGTCTCTCCTTCCCCTTGGTGTGCAGGAGTGACTCAGCAGGAAATGAGTCTGCGCATGCTTAACTCCAAAGATCCTCATAATACTTTGAACTCATAATACTTCATAACACAGTAAGAACTGAAAGTACTAAAGAAACTAAGTTTTAAACAGCACTTCTTTTGTATTCTGGGTTCAGCCAAATGCAACAAATGCATTTTTCCCAACCTTACTACCTACCTATTAAGTTGTTTAAAGAAATAAAGATTTCTCATGTTTTTACAGTCAAACTGCTGCAAACTTTGAAGCAAAAATATGTAAACTGATTCATTTTTTTCTGAACTGTAAAACTGCTACTGTGAAACAACATAGCAAATTATAAATTAATAATAAAACCAAACAAATTCATCCTTGCTGTGAAGTCAGAGGTGAATACAGACAGTTGGATGCCATGTGAGTGGGCAGGGAAGGTGGCAAGGAATCCCGTTAATCCCGTTTAGCCTGCTGAGCTCCTGTCGGGTTTTACCACTGAGAGGGGGACACAAGGGCTCAAGTTCAAATGTGAGGTTCCCAAGAAATTCTCAGCTGCATGGCTTGCTCTATGCATCATTTGCACAATTTAATCAATACTCAGATTTGAAAGGTTCCTCTGTGACCTTCAAATAAATTCTCAAAAGCAGAAAATCTAAATATAGATGAGAAATCATTAAAACTGATTCTTTTTTATTACTCCAAAGTGAAAATCTGTGACTTATTTTCTGTCCATTCCATCCAATGTCTTCTCCCCTGATTGAATAATGTTCCTCTCAATTTGGACTCTCATAGTGAGAAGTTGCAAACATCTACAATTTCTGGGTGAGAATTTCAGTTTTTAGAGTTAAATATCACTTTTTAAATTCCAAATAATTTGCTGATGTAATAACCAGAAATAAATTATATTATGATTAAAATTTATATATCAAAATTCTGTTTCACATCTGGCTGCAGTATAATTACGGAAAAAGTATACTCTTTGAAAGTCTATATAAGGAAGTAGTTTTAACTCTCATACTTATGATCCACATAAACTTACAAAATGTCTTAAATTTTCTTTTCTATCTGAAAATAAAAATTAACCAATTGCCCATATTGTCATAATTAATAAAACATGAAAAAAAGTATATATATAATATTCTTGGCAATGAAAGCAGTGAACAATTTCTTTTCCTTTTCTCTAGATGCTCAGCTAGAGAATGGTTATGTGGAATAAATGATTAAATTTTACTTTATGGTAACAGCAAAAACTTGTTTAATATTTCTATATGGTAAAACAAATTATTCTTTTAAAATTAAAATGTTAATCTTTCTCATAAGTTAAACTAGCAGTTTCTTTTCATAAGTATAAGAGCAAAATATTTGGAATATTGCCCATAAATAATTGAGTAGTCCAAAACTATGCCTATATTCTATGATATATAATAAATGATGCTGTTAGTAACTTCTGTGACTTTTCTTCCTCTTTTCTATAAACCCTATTAAAACTCTATGATAATATTTATATTTATTAAAATGCTTTAAGAGCAGATCTAAAGACAATTTTCATGTAGACTGAAACATTAATCAGTAGAAATTTTATTTCTGGATAGTAATCAATACAATAAGGAATCCAGAACCTAGTTATTAACTATCATGTAATTAATTTAAATTGGATATGAGACAGTGAATACTTTCTCCTAAAACTATGAATAAAGTATCTCTCTCCTTTCATCCTGAAATTAAATGTGAAAACCAAGGAATTTATTTTAGTACAGTGCTGACAGCATTTACTTAAGTGATCAATAATCTCGGAGTCAAATAAGAAAAAATTTAAATAAATAAACAAACACAACTCACCTTATCCACAATACATATCAGCTTTCTGGTTTGAGCATCAAGGATTTCAATCTCAAAGTGAACAGTTTTTGAATGTTTGAGGACTGGAGCTGGTTTTAGGGGGCCTGCTGAGAGGACAAAGTGTGACAGCGTGTGAAAACTTCTCAGGTCATTCCTCATGGCGGACCTTGAAACTCCTTGAAAGAATAATTGTCTTTTGCGTTCTGAGCGGAGGGACTTTTGCTTCTTGAACATTGTATAAACTAGCTGGAGAGTCTGTCATGTAAACAGACTTGCTAGTGAAGTGCCACGCCATCCCGACTGCCCAGTTTTATTTAGCAGGCTACAAAACAATGGCTGATCTTATTTCTATATATAGCACACTATTGAGAATTCTGCGGCGCAGAGTATTATTTTACCAGCATCTGAATTATTTCCACCTTTTATCTCTGGTTCTTAATATAACCACTCTTATCTGAAGTGCCAAAACAGAAAAGAGTCGATGGTTCTTGGCGTCTCTAAATTCTGCATGCATGAATCTTCAGACAGAGGCACACTGTTACCTGCACGGTCACATTTAGATTCATTTAACTAGCAGAGTCATACACTTTACATTAGAAAAATAGTGTAGTATGTAACATGCTATAAGTACAAATTAAAAATTAGTGGCATATGTAAGTCATATATATTTGTTAGACATATACATATAATTAAAACTACAAAGTAAGATCTATTTTGTCAGTACTAATTTATACGTTTAAAATAGTTTAAGAAAGTAACGTACACAAATGAAATAGTAAATTCTTCATATAAGGAAGGAAAACATGGCAAGCTGTAAGATTAGCATATGCACAGAACAATGCTACACCTTGGAGTAAAGGAGATAAACCTTATATTAACATTTTTACACATTTATGTCTTTGCAAAATCACTGAATCAATACAAAATATAATATCAGTACAAAACATCTCATCTCCAGTAACACTATATTATGGAAATTACAAGTAGTCTGAGAATGAACAATGAGATGTAAAACAATATGGAAAGAGGAATGTTAGAAAGAGATTTCATGTAATACCATATATATATATATGTATAACAATTGAAATATATGTTGCTGTAATTTGAAAGGGCATTAATGAAAATATTCTAGAATATTATTTTAAATAAAGTGCTAATAGAAAAAAAAAGCTAAATTTCAGGAGGGAGGCTTTCTATTATCTGCTTTAGATTAAGTTTTACTTTTATAAATACATGTAATAGTGTAGATTTTATTCTTATTACACATCATGCGCTGGGACACACGTCATTCCAATATCATTTCATCCTCTACTGCACTGCGCTCAATATTAAGCATATTCAAGGACAAAAGAAAGAGATATATATGTTTCTGTCTGTGTCAATTTAGAAAAATAAATGTAGTTAGTACAGAGGATGAGATCAGAAATGTGACAGGGTACAACATGATGTAAAGCTTTGCAGAATGTTGTTCACCAGAAGAAACATCCGTATCACATTGAACAGATTACTAAACTGTCTTCCAGTATACAGAGTAAAATCATCAAGCTATTGCATTAAAAATATAGTATAGACAGACTAACCTTGAAGCAGAAAGACCAGTTTTCAGTGGTTAAAAAGGCGAATTGATGTTTTAATGGTAGCTACATGGAGTACATGGATTGCATTCTCGATTTCTGATGACTTAGATATGACGTAGAGGTTAAGCTGATCTGAAGGTTAAAGTCCTGAACAGTTGGAGTGAAAAGCAGGTTTCTTTATAAATAATAAAAGGAAAAAATTTCTTACATAATAATTCCAAGGAATATACGTCGATAATCTCAGAAGTAGTTTGTATTTAGTCACAAATTCATAATAAAGGATAAATGCGAAGTAACTAAAGAGGAAAAATTTCATACAGGAAAAGATGGCAGGTTGACAGTGTCTTACCTATATGTATAAGCCTAATGTCATCATGAGATATCATTTTGCTATTGTATAACCATATATCAGAGATAGAAAACTATTTATTCTATCCAGCCGTGGAGACACATTAGAGACAAATTAAGGGACATTCATAAAAGGATCTGAGGTGCCAAGAATATGAAAATTAAAGAGCAATTGGAACCTGAGACAAATCCAAAAACCTCACATAGAGATGTCATGGCAAAACATAATGTGTTATTCTGAATTATTTCCTAGAATAACAACAACAAATGAACATTAGAGGAAACCTGGTGAAATAGATAACATCTGTAGTTAACTAAGCAGCAGTTTATCACTAATAATTATGAGTAATTGGATCCAGTTAAAGGAAGTTGACTAAAAAGTAAAGGCACCCAAATTGTGTCATTTTATGTTCATTTCAAAATTTTTGTTGTAAGATAATTCCAAAATAAAAAATATACAAAATCAATACTCACCCCCTAAATTAATAACAGCAAAAAGAAAGTAGAAAAAGAAAATGGAGGAAAAAGGCACAATTCAAAGGAGTAAAATCAAGCATATATTTCTATGTCAATCACTCAAAAATCTGAGAGGAGAAAGAAATTTCAGAGATTTTGTTACTTATTGTTTTTGTTACTTATTGTAGATATGAAGTGATTTTAAAAATGAACTGCTATTTATTTGGTAAAGAGTTACATAACATTGTAATACAAATCATAATGAAAACTCTCTGAATTAATATTTGAGTAATTTCAGACAGTGCTCACCAATTTGTAAACTATGCAGAAATTTAAAATATTTAAAAAATAAAATATCATACAAAAAGATTTAGTGAAAAGTTGGAATCTTTTTCTAATTCCATTAATTATTTAAAATTGTGAGTGAATAGAAAAGATTTGTACATCACTCCTCTTACTTTTATAGCTGTCTATTTTTTAATGAAAACATTCCATTTCAACTTCTTGTTGAGGTTCTCTTCTCAGTCTAAAAATGAAAAGACATTTGAAAAGTAGCTTTAATTTATACAAAACCTATACATAAAAATAGTTTTCATGTATCACCTTGATTAATTCCATTGCATAATTTCTCCTATAACAACTTGCGTAGGGGAATACTTTTATTTGCAACTGAAGAATGAATATTGAGAAGATATCATTAATAAGCATCCATGAATTACCTTGTCAGTCAGACTTTGAGTTTTCCTGTTGTATGAATTTTTACCAATAGATAGGATCACGTGCCCACCGTAACAATATAAAAATAGAATAGTTTCACCCACCTCAAATGTACTATATTCTACCTTCATCATTTCTTATCACCTTAACCCCTGAAGGTATCTGGTCATTTTATTGTTTTCTTTCTTGTAGTTTTTCCAGAATGTCATTAGTTAGGATAATCCATGTGAAATGTTTTGTTTTGTTTTGTTTTGTTTTGTTTTGTTTTGTTTTGTTTAAGAATGGCTTTTTCACTTTAGTATGCATTTAAGTCACATCCCTAGTTTTTTCAAATACTGAGAGCTCATTACTTTTTAAAATTACTGAATAATACGACATCACATGGAAGCACCTTATTTTGTTTGTCCTGTCATTTACTGAAGGGTAGCTTGTCTGCTGCAATGAGATTCATATGCAGGTCTTTGTGTAGGTATAATTTTAAATTTATTTGAGTAAATGCCTCATAATGATTTCAGATTGAATTATAGGCTTATGTTTAGCTTTGTAAGAAACTGTAAAGTGTCTTTCAAATTGGCTACACAATTCTGTATTCCAGCTGACAATGTATAAAAATCCCTGTCTTTCCACATCATCACCAGCATTTGGTGTTATCTATGCTATGATTTTAGCCATTGTATTGGATGTGGCATAGCATGCTATCTTATTGTGTTAATGTGCAACGCATTAATGTCTTATGATGCTGAGGAATTTTAGGAAGCTTGGCTCCAATTTGTATGTCTTCTTTTATGTGGTGTACATTCAGGACTGTTATTCATTTTGCAAGATTTTTGTTTTCTAATGGTTGACTTTTAAGAAACTTTATATTTTGGATATATCTTACATATCTTTTCCAAAACTATATTTTACAAATATATTCTTTCAATTTTGGTTTTTTTTTCAATATTTTAACAGGTTAATTTGTGCAGTAATAGCTCAGAGTATAAACTATAGTATAAAATCTTTATAATGTAAAATATATATTGTGCTTGTGATATCTAAAAATTATCAAGTATAAAATTATCTCGATTTCCCTTATACTTTATTGTAGCAGTTTCAGGGTTTTATGTTTACATTTATGACTATAATTCCTATTGTGTTATTCTGATGAAAAACATTAGGTCTTCTAATCATTCTAAAGTCATTATTTGAAAACACTGTCATTTCTATATTGAATTGGCTGCAATCCTTTGCCAAAGATCAGCTGATAACATTGGTGTGTTTATTTCTACATTGTCACATATATTTTCCATTATTTTAACACTAAGCTGACTTTATTATAATAACTTCATAGTACATCTTAGTGCCTATTATCAATTGATAACTGGCATTTGTTCTGCTTTGTGATGTTATACGGACTATTTTGAATTTTCTGCCTATTGATTTAGTTTTTGCCACAGATAGTGCATTTGTTATCCTGTATGTACTTTTTGGCTAAGATGAAGTTCACATATTGCATTTATTTCCATAACTACTTTATAGACTTTTAATTCATAGTATCTCAAGTTTGAATATCTGTATGCATTTATAAATGTTTTAATAACTGGTTCTTAGCTCTCTTTGTAGATAATAGTTCAATTTTTTAAACTTAGGTTTCCTTCACAGCTTTTCAGCAGTCTAGTTACACAATAAATTTTGTAAAGCTAACCCTCGCACCTGGGAGGTGAGGCAGGAGGATCGTCATGAGTGCGAGGCCAGCCGGGTCTACAGCATGAGTTCCAGGCCAGCCTGCACTACAAAGTGAAGCTCTGTCTCAACCAACAAAATGGATGAATAAATAAGCAATTAAACAAGCAACAAAGGATTTTGTAATCACCCATAAGTTTCTGCAATATTTAGACAATGATAAATTCACCCATTAGACCATCAGATTTATGAGGCCAAAAATAGATCTAATTATCTCCATCACTTTTTCTTCAAGCTATAGAAAAATTTCGGGCTTATAGTAACTACTCAGCATTATTCATTGAATGAATATACCATCACCTGGAAGCATTTTCCTCTCTAATCAAACATATTTATGAACGGTATCACAATTAGATAGATGCTGGAATTTAAGAATATTTTTATTAGTGGAGAAGACTGCATAATAAAAACTATCTTTTTAATCTGCATTTAATATTACACAAATAAAAGTTGAAAGACACTG